AAATCTCATAATAGATTCATAATTTAGTTTGGTTTTCAAATTCACAAAATAAAAGGTAAATATTAAGGTTGAGAGCAAAATTTGAATCGCTTCGGAAAAACTAAGGAGAGGAAGGGCTGGAATCTTGAGATGGGTGGGAGAAAGAAGACACCCTTTCTGGCACTATATCAAACTCCTGCCCTTCATTTCTGTATGTTATTTAAATATGTATAACAAAAAATGTATTCGCTTAGTAGTGTCGGCATCAAGACAATAAAACAATCATATTCAACTTCAATCAACTCGTACAATCATATCTTTCTTGAAATTTACATATATTTTAATGTTCTAAAAACTGTATGAAACGTAGTCACATATAAAAGTGCTAGTTATCATTATGGTTTCAAAGACAGTTGCTTTTTTTTTTGGAATAGGTTTTGAATTAGTTATATTACTCTTCATAAATAGTTTTCTCGGCTACTGCCGTGCATCTTTATTCGTAAGTACCCGTATTTAAAGCATTTATTTTGTTTTATTCACATAATGGATACTATCAACCTTGGACACCGATCGAGATTCTTTCAGTTGCGCAGTAACTGGTCAAAGATGAGAAGCTTATTCTTGGACTTAAAACTTCACTCTATTGACTCCAATAGGGCATGTTCTTCCTAAAGGAAACTTATGTACGATAGCACATTATACTTGGACTTAAAACTTCACTCTATTGACTCCAATAGGGCATGTTCTTCCCAAAGGAAACTTATGTACGATAGCACATTATACTTGGACTTAAAACTTCACTCTATTGACTCCAATAGGGCATGTTCTTCCCAAAGGAAACTTATGTACGATAGCACATTATACTTGGACTTAAAACTTCACTCTATTGACTCCAATAGGGCATGTTCTTCCCAAAGGAAACTTATGTACGATAGCACATTATTCTTGGACTTAAAACTTCACTCTATTAACTCTAATAGGGCAAATTCTTCCTAAAGGAAACTTATGTACGATAGCACATTATACTTGGACTTAAAACTTCACTCTATTGACTCCAATAGGGCAAATTCTTCCTAAAGGAAACTTATGTACGATAGCACATTATACTTGGACTTAAAACTTCACTCTATTGACTCCAATAGGGCATGTTCTTCCTAAAGGAAACTTATGTACGATAGCACATTATTCTTGGACTTAAAACTTCACTCTATTGACTCCAATAGGGCATATTCTTCCTAAAGGAAACTTATGTACGATAGCACATTATACTTGGACTTAAAACTTCACTCTATTAACTCTAATAGGGCAAATTCTTCCTAATGATGGCTTTAGAAACAAAGTACGGGCACGAAGTTTCGGGCTAAACTTCTTTTGTCTCACGAGAAATGCGCATGTGGCTTCATTTCAATAATTCTTTCAAGTCTGTTTGTTTATTTTTTAATTTCGCGCAAAGCTACACGAGGGCTATCT